GCTACTGACCACTGAAAAGACATTTGAAGAAACAGTCGTTCTGTAAAGTTCAGAATAAATGATGCCACTTAAATACTCTCCACATAGCTATTCAAAGGTTTCTAATCCTTGAGCATTAAAAAACAGTGCACAGACAATGTGGATCCTAAGCCAACATTTTTTATTATGAATTTGCTGTGTTGGGTCATGCTCATCATGCACAAGGATGAATCAGATAGAGTTTCAGTCCTGTATGGCAGTGTGTTGCCTTTCACCACCTTATCCCTGAAGAGATGGAGGAGCAGAGAGTTGAGGCTATTTGTTTCCATTTCCTTCTGATCCACCTGTATTCACAGAATAGGATCCATGCCCAGCATCCATTCCTGTTTCCACTTCAACTTCGGTGCAATTCCTTTTGCATAAGTGTAGTTCCTTAGCTCTTCCCATCATTGTACAGCTGTTGGCTTAAAAAAGCCTATTATTTTTCAAATATTTCACCTTTACTGGGATTTAGCTTAGAAGTTTGAATCAACTGCTGACATATTTAGTTTTTTCTTTTTTTTTTTTTTGATGACTGTTGTAATCAAACTATTTTGTGTTTTAAATCTACAAAAGGGTGGAAGATACTCTTGGATAGGGACTCTAAGGGTACTACGGTGCATGTGAAATTTGTGCAAGCATCTTGCAATTTAAAAAGTTGTTATTTGCCTGCTAACATTAAGAGGGACAGAAGAATGGGCTGAGCTGCCAAGTCATTGTCTGTTTGGTAACGGAACACATAATCTTCCATTACAAATCTTATCTTATATGCTATTTGGCTCATTTGATCTCTGGTTATCAATTTAACTTCTCTGCCACAAACATCTGTACTTGCATTGCGTTAATCTGTGTGAATGGTAAACATTGACGTAGTTAAACTATAAAAGTGTATTTTAAAAGCATTTTTTAATTCATTAACTCGAAAGTAAATGATAATAAAACGAGCACTTCTCATATTATTATCCCTTTGTAAGCAGTTTGGCATTTGCTCCATAAGCCAGAAAAGCAAAGTCACTTTGAAAAAATAATGTTTCAAATTCTTAATTTCCGAAATCAAAAATATTTGAGAGTGGGTAATAGGATATCTAGTTCAACTCTCATTTTTGTGGCAAAAGACATTGAATCTTATGATTCGATATGAATGCCTGCTTGTGGATGATGCCCCAAGTTAAAGCAGTATCAGTTGCTAAAGCTATTTGAGTACTTTCCAAATGTCTTCATTACAAGTTAAACATTAGTGGGGAAAACAGAAATAATTCCATAACTTTGCTTTGCACTAATTTTGTTTCAGATGTGGTGGTCGATCAGTTTCCTTATGGTGTTCCTCCCTCCTCTTCCTCACCCTCTACTTGACTCTCAACCTTTCAGATTGGCGATGGCCATTCCCAAACTACTACTGTTCGTTCTTCTATGGTTCGATTTTTGGTTTGTTTTTAAAAAGCTACCTATTTTCTGCTGGGTATCATGGAAGTCTCTTACCTCAGAGAAGGATGTTGAGGGAAGTCTGAACTGCTGGCAACATATTCAAAGAGGAAAATATGCAGAATACCACTAGAGATATCTGTCTCCAAGAGTTTGTGATAGGAACTTCCCATCATACAATCTGTGCTGGGCAGATGACGTGTGTACTCTGAGGAGTAGGGACTTGCTCTTTCTGATGCTTCTTTTATTGAGGGAGGATCTGATGTGTCTCCTCTGTGATGTTTATGCTCATCGTTTCTGAAATAAAAGGGTATCTAAATATGCTTTTGAAAGAGATAACCATTAAACACATAGAAGTAAATGGAAACCTGGATAAAAATGTGGTTTAATTAAAGGTAAATTGTATGGTAATATTTCTTTTGATAAAGTAACTAACTTTGGCAAAGGCAGTCTTGAACCCAGAGCAGGTATTTTTTATGTTAAGAGCCACTTGTGATTTTTATTGAACTTCTCTTAGATATCCCTTTTCTCATCCTTGAGTTTTACAGTATAGCTATTCAGTACAGCAATTTGCATGTTTTCTGAGGTCAGCAGGTTAGTTTTTTTACAAAAGTTTTGTGCTTTTGACAGTGAATGTTATTGGATTGTGTTTATTAGGATTCCTGTAATAAATTTAATGTATTTTTGAAAAAAAATTATATATAATATGGCTAAGGAATTAAATGTTAGCCTGTAAACAATATTACGAAAATAAGGTGCATTGTAAATTCACAGGAAAGCTAACTTTTCATGTTTCCAATTTCTATGCTCCCTTTTTTCAACTATGTAAGCACTTCAAGAATTGATGTGTGTGTGCCTGTATACATATGGAGAAAGAGATTGAAAGGAAATGAGAACATAAACTATTGATCAAGCAGACTGGAACAAAATTACTCATTAGTTAAAAATGGCTAACGATGAGAGAGCAATGATCTATCACAGGCTGACATCAGTATGATGCATCTAGGAAAGGGCAAATACAGTAGCAGAATGAATTGGGCAAGATATGTGCTGTAGTGATAACACTGTATTTATGCCATTTTTCAAGTCACTGGTGAGACACATCTGAAATTGCATGCAAATAACTGAAATTCTACAGGCCACAAAGATTAATTCAAACTAGAGCAAATACAGAGGGTCTGTGAGGAAGGTGTGGGTGACTTGTCATACCAGAACTAAGCAAACATGACTTCTTGAGCCTGCCAAAATAAAGGCTGGGATGTGGGAAGGGAGTGGAGAAAAAGTACAGCTCACAATAAATAAAAATGCCAAGGATAAATGCCAGGGGTAATAAAAATTTAAAATAAAAGGCACTGTTTTCATAAAGAATAAGTAATTGCAATTTGGCCACCAATAAATTCAGAAGACAGTTTTCAGATGTCAGAGTTATATACAGTTATAACAGCCATCTGATACAGATAGTAAGTACAAAAATATCTAAATCATTTTAAGGTGGAGTTTATGGCCTTTTTGGTAAATTTATGGAACTGATTATATGAAAGGGATGTCTGAAGTCATAGGCAACTGGACTCAGCCCCATCCAGATTTTTGCTCCTATATGAGAGATTTAGAGCAGTGAACATCTATGTACATCTTTATGTAGTTTCTGGTATAGGTTTATGTGCTTATCTGAGAGTTAAGCCGTCTTCTTACTCTATAAGTAAATATTTCCATATGTTAATGTTCTCGTATTTAATTTGTAATTGAAAAGTTGAGGGGTTTTTTGAGAGCTGCTTGTCTCCAGATAACCTGTATTTAAAAATATTAGATCCACCTATAAACCTCTTCAATCATTTCATAGGAAGAAGTAAAACATGATCTAGTATTCCTTATTCCCTAGCATGAAATAAATCCCATTGATAGGTGAAGCATGTAAAATGTTTGCCTAAACTCTGCAGCCCTTCCATATTGACTTTCTTTGATAAATATTAAAGGACAAAAGGCCACTTTTGACTTTCCTGGAACTTGAACAATCAGACCTGCCAACATAAGTAAGCAAATTGCTCTTATGTTGGTGAGTGTAGTAAAAACAAATAAATAGGTAAATGTTCTTTATAATAGATGATATTCAAATTGTATGTGCCTGCAAACAGAAGTTGAGACTCCTCGTATGCAGCTGGATGCTTCTTAGTGGCACATTTGTTCATACAAGAGGATGCTTTGGGGCTTGTATTACCAAAAAAAAAAAAAAAAAAAAAAAAAAAAAAAAAAAAGAAAAATCTGTACCTCTGAGTTTTTATGGATTTTAAATATCTTTAATTAATCCTACTCTGAGTACATAGGGACACTTAAAAAGGCAGCCAAGGCCCAGAGATAACAGCTTTGGTGTACATGTCTTAAATGAAGAACCTTTCTGTTCTACTGTGTTAAACAATACACATCTTTGGTCATACATATCTGTAATATGTTATCAGTATGATACAAAGGAACGTGTAGTCCTGTACATAGTGTTTCTTGGGCTTACACAACCAGAGAAGAAAATCTTTGGCTAAATACAGCACCATGTATTTGATAAGCTGAGTTTCTTCACAGAAACAAAAGGCAATGGTACCCTAGGAAAGTTTCATCTTAGTTTTGTGTCCATTCGTTCTAAAAAGTTTTTTTTATATAATTTTAGCTTTTGGTACCTACTGACTTCAAGTATTGAGTAGAAACTATCTGAAAAATTTCTGTTGTATCAACTGCAGAGTTTTCTCTGAATAAATAAATTGTTGCTAATCCTGATATACTCTTGTATAACGTAGCCTGACTGCACTACCACTGTTCTGTGTTTTATGGAGCTCCAGATGGACTTACTGGGCATCAAAGTGTAGATTATTGAAAATGTTCTAGACAGCCGTTTTCATCGTAGCCTGATCTTTTTAGTTTCAAATCTAACTTACTATCTTTCCATTTTATAACTTAATAAACTTTGCTCAGGAAGGGGTGAAGGCTTTTGTATAACCTTTCATTGTCTTGCTGGGGAGCTTATCCCACAAGATTCTTTATTTGTGAAAGGGGCATAAAACAGTTGCACAATTAAGCATGAAATGGTTTGCTCAGATGAACTGAGTTGGCGAAGGAAGAATGTGAATGATGTCTGAAATCCACTGCCTGCTGTGGTCTCTTTAGCATGCAGCAGTATGCCTACGGCAGGTAAGAGACTGCAGCGTGTTCTTCAACCATGGAAATACTTTTTTTCCAAATGGCATCTGTGTCTCTTGGTTTTAAAATACTTTTTAACTTTACACTTTATACATCTTGGCTTGATTTCTTCTTTCATATACTCTCAAGAGGTCATTTCAAATTAAAACGGCTGGCTGTTTAACTGGCCCAAATGTAATTTTGAAATAATACAGAGCTTGTACCAGCTTCTATCAAACCCTGATCTGAAAATTTCTGCCAGCATTGCTACTGTTCATACTAGAGTTCCTGAAGCCATCTTCTTCTGTGTTGAGTCTTACTGTATGCTTGCATAGGAGCACAACTGATGTGTTTTTGTGGATGCTAACACTCTTGTCTTTCTTCCATTTTATTTGAAGTTCCTCCTGAATTTCTGAAGCGGCCTGCAAATATTTATGCTCATGAATCTATGGACATTGTGTTTGAGTGTGAGGTGACTGGAAAACCTACTCCAACTGTGAAATGGGTCAAGAATGGAGACATGGTGATCCCAAGTGATTATTTCAAAATTGTTGTAAGTATATCATCTGTTTTGCAGATTTTTAAGCTGTTGATCTGTCTTTTGGTCCTCTAACACACGTGCATGGAAACTAGGCTCTTTTATAGGACCAGCTTCCTATTTTTGTACTATTGATGTTTGGGGCCTGGAAGAGAAATGGTTTGTCAAAACCTTTAATGTTCCGTAATTCAGTTGTTTTACTGAAACGCTAAAGCATGTTGCTTATATTGAATGAGTTGATTTCTTTATAGCTTAGATTTTCCATGAGAGACAGATGCACACACAATGACAAAACATACTTTTGTTTGTTGAACCTGTTCAAGTGCAAGCCTGCTGTGAACACTGACTGACTGTTTTCTGCAGTAGTCTGTGATTGATGAAAATCGCATTTCAAACAGGAGATTAAATATAAATATCACTGAGTTGTGGATCATGAGTTTTGGCACACCAGTACTTCTAGAGGGAAATTTTAGATGTAGTAAAAGTCATTATTGAGACATGGTTGAGAACTTAATGTTTGTGTAATTAGGTATACCTGGGGTTGTAGGACTGTAACAGTGAGCTATGCAGTTATATTCAGTGCTTAAAATATCATAAAAATATGCTGTGGAAATGTTATGACTTGCCAGTGATATGTGATGCTAGAAAATGATAGCCATTAGTAAGAGCTTCTGCTGCTTTTTGATACCGTGTAATTTGAGAACTCAGTGCAGAAGAGATGAAATGTGACGGGAGCTCCAAATATACTTTTCCATGTTACTGTTCAAAAGTTTCTCCTGTCATAACACCACCATTGTTTTTGCAATTGCAACCCATTTTTAAGTGTTGCATTTTTCTTTACTCTTCAGAAAGAACATAATCTGCAAGTTTTGGGTCTGGTGAAATCAGATGAAGGATTCTATCAGTGCATTGCAGAAAATGATGTTGGAAATGCACAGGCTGGAGCTCAGCTGATAATACTTGACCTTGGTAAGATAAACCGTGACAGTACAGTGCCAAAAGATGAGGAGGAACAATTTCAAGGGACCTTTTCCACATGATGTGTTAGATGTAACTCAGCTAGACTAGGATGGTTTTTTTTAATCATATGAGTAGTTCAGTGTCATCTTCCGTACACTTAAAGTTACTTAGGAGAAATTAAGAAATTCTGTAGGATTCACCCTGTATTTTGGAAAATCTGTTGAAAATATGTAGTGCAATAATAAACCATAGCCAGAAATCTGAAACATTGTTGCATGCTGAGATTTAAAAAAACACCAGGATAGCAGAAATGAAAACAATCGTTGAAATTACAAAAGTGAAAAATAAGCAATTATGGAGCGCACCGCCAATGAAATATTTTATACCGAAGTCATTCCAGTGTCAGAATCTTTTTCTCTGCTATTAGTTCAAAAAGTAGTGAGCTTCGTAATTTCTGCAAACTGCAACTGCAAATTTTTTTTTGAGATACAGCTGCAGTTTAAGTTAAATATTTGTTATTGTGCTTCAGTCAGTGGAATTACTAACAATGCTCACCTTCTTGCAATGTTCTGCATTGCACATTTTGGATGTTAAAAGAGAATAATTGCTGTTATGATTAAAGACCTACTATCTTCCAGAAAAAAAGGTAGTACCAATATCGTTGCTAAGGAATTGGCTTGTTTTGCTCTTTCAGGAACACAGTTCTTAAAAATAATTTCTAAGAGCACAAGGAAGAAAACCAATAGTAAGGGGGATGAGGGGAGAGACAAGTCATACAAGAAAATATTAATTCTGTACTTTTGGGGGCTTTTATGTTGCCTGTCTTTTTGGGGGTATTGTTTAAAATTGTAATTTCTTTTTTATTTGGATGGAAAGGATTTAGGAGAAGCAGTCTTACGTATGGTCAGAGGCATGATTTATCTTCACACTTGCAATTTTAACAGATGTGAATCTGCTAGACCTGGTTTTGGCGTTCAACGTACAGAGAGTAAACTGTTATGAGCGTGCCATAAAGAGAGAGATTTTCCATTTCTTTTCTGATTGTCTTGTAGAGTAGTTGTGCTCTTATAACCTCTTCTGAATTCTCGTTTGGATATGGGTATGTTTCATTGCTGGCTGAAGAGATGCATGTACTTTCCACAATTATTTGGGGAATGTAAGGTGCCCTCTACTGGATTCAGTAGCTTTAATACTATAGAGCCACGGGATTTCATCCTCTCCGAGTAGTGTTAGGCGTCTGGATCCAGCAATGGCCTACTGTCATCAGGTTGCCAGAATAATTATTAAAAGTAATTTTATTTCTGCTATATGCATGAATCACCCAAGTAGCTTCCAAATCTTTCAAGCAGAAGCATTATTCCATATTTTCCACATTTGAAAAATACTGAATAATTAATGTACTTGGGTTTTGAAGCCCTGCCCAAGTTTGTACCTTCACCCAGTTCCCAGTAGTGGTTTATAAATTACTATTACTGTTATTATTTTAGTTCCTGTGGTCTCATTCTTCTTCCTTTCCCTCCCCTGTTGTTTGTCCAGTGGTTTCTCCTTCCTGTTCTACTCTGGCAACCTGTCCTGTTTTACTAGAGGACTTTGCCTTATAATGCTGTCCTTTTTCTTTTGCATGCTGCCAAAGGATTATGGATGCAGTGTTGATGGAGTCTCATTTTGGGTGTAAAGATACACCCCCGAAGTCATATCGTTCTGTTACATGGCCCTCAGTGTTTTTAATAATGCACTCCCTGTGTAACACTGATGCATTTTAGTTGTTGTTTTCCAACAGTAGAGATAACCACATGGTACATCACTGAAAGTGCATTTTTTGTTGTTGTTGAATAGTGGCATAACAAGTAGCATAACTAGGAATGAATGTGCTGTGTCTTAGTTGTGTTATATGAAAACTGGAATAATATACACAGTCGAAGAAAATACAGATATTTGATATCTTATTTTAATACCTTATCACAATATGTGAACAGCAAAGAAGGAAACAATATTCAGGGAAAG